CTTGTTTTGAGTTGATTACATGCGAAAGTAAAAACAACCGCTGTTATGAATTTGCACATGTTTGCGTTCATCATCCTCGATGTCATAATCTTTCTGTTTGTTATGCGCTGTCTATGATTAGTCAACAAATCTGTCCATCAACAACAAGTAAGAGAAAAGCCAGTTATCTACAACCTCCGATGGAGCTCGAATTTTTTTCAAGGTCTCTCTTCACAGTTCTGTTTTCATGACCAATATTCGTTAATCTGGAGTGCAGAGTCGGTCACAGTTATCTCGAGCAGTCATAAAGATACAGTTCGATAGAATATGTGTAATCTTTAAGTGTGGATGTGAGTGTAGGTATAGAGAATATTCAGATCATAATTCCCACATCTAACACCCCACACCCATTTCATCCACATTACCAGTGATGTGCAGACGTATGTTCAGAAGTGATACTTTAGTGTACGAAATTTTTCAGAATGTTTTTTTCTTAGAAAAACAATGTAAAAATTCACATCACACTATTTGACAAGGGGAAAAATTATAATACTTTATCTCTAGAATACTATTAAGCTCTTTCAAATATTTCTCGGCAGTTATTTCACTAATACAATGTTGATATGGGGGCAGAACATTCTGATGATTTGCTATGAACATATTAGCAACATTCAAGTGTTTGTTCGTTTTTAAAAATAACAACAGAAGTGGTAAATTTGATAAGAACAAGCTTTCATTTTGGTCTCAAAACTACGTAGACACAATAAATCTAATGCATCTCACTGGATTCAGCTCATTTCGATTCGATTCGATGTGGCTCAGTTGAATCACATCGGGCCAAACGATCAAAAACTCTTCTCGTTTTCAGTGTTTGATGGACACAGAGGTTTTCCATCCGAGGATTAGTTTTCTGGAAAAAAAATCACTTTTCATACATGTGAAGACATCGCTCTACTTCGAAGCGACGTCAAGACTTCATCTAAAATTTCAATGCACAGAGTTCTACAGCACATTGTATGTGAAAACTAACACTATCTGTTTTTTTTTGACATAAATATTTTATGATAATTAATAGCGACAAACATTACAACTGCAACTAAAGCTACCGGTCAAAACTTTAGTAAGCTGTAAATTGATGCTTTTTGTTAATCCTAATAAACACAAATTGTTGATCAGATGTCAATAATTGCTTTGTATGCAATAGTCCTATGCAACTAGCTATACGTTACATTGATAAAAAAAAAGTAACTTTATAATATGAGTGATTTGATCTGTATCATGAGAAAAAACGAAGAAATAGTCATTGCCACGTTGACTATTTTTCATCACTATTGAAGTTTTTTGTTTTGTTCATATCTATAAAATGCAATTTAGTGGTTCACTTCGTTTGTTACCACATATTATGGTGCATTTTTATACAAAATGTTCCGTTTGAATTTGAATGAAGACCACTCAGTTTGAGATACTATGGAAATTCACTGTATTCTTGAGAAGCTCCTCTTCTCTTTACCTCATTTCAGTTCAGATAGCCTTAAATTCGACTGTTTCAACTCTACCAATTTCTTTTTCTATGAAGCATTTCACTAATAGCTTTTACTTCGGAGACAGATGACAGCTACATTTTTACGTACGAACAAGAATCGACAATTCAAAGCCATATGATATAGGATTAATCAAAACCTAATTAGTTGATCATTAGACAAACCGTTAAAAAACATCCAGAAAGAATTTGCATTGTATGTTCGTTTCATGCATATCACTTAGTACACATAGAGTAACTAAAGCTAGTTTGCATTCTGATCATTCATGTTTTTGAAGGCTTCATATAGGTAAAAACAAGCATAGAATGCAGGGTGTGGGTGTGGGGTGCAAGAGACAAGACTACTAACACTCACACCCTATCTTTCCACGTAATATTGTTGGTGTATACGAGGATGTGAACGCAGTCGCTTCATATGTCTGTTGAATGTATGAAAAATTGTTGGTATATTTATATTATTGTGTGTATGATGAAAAAATTCTTTTGTAGAGGTATATACTTAGAATGGCACAGCAAGTGTACAAAAAGTGCACTTTAATAAGTGATTTCGCAATATAAAACTCTAGCAAAATTGAATTTTCTTTCGTTCTGTTTTCTTTTCAATGCTTAAATTCAGTTCAAGGTTAACATTGTGTTGTGTAAATAGGAAAAAAACGTTGAAGCAGAATTCACAGTGACAGGGTAAATATTTTTCATGTGTTTTTATACGACTTTATAATAAGAAAATTGAAATGCGAAAAAACATCAGTGTTTCATAAGCAACGAATCTTCAGCTAGAACGCGGTAGGAATTGAAAGAAGATCAAACGAAATTCAATAATCATTATTGTCATCGATACTATAATAGTCCTGCACAGGTTTAACTTTTGGAATTTGACAATCTTATACTACCTCATTCATATCTGATTCATTATTTTCTTCCAATATCACTATTCAATAAAAACTGAAAGTTTCATACACATACGGAATTTACATCAGAATAACTTTCGAAGGGTCTATTTAGTTCTGCAGCAACATATGACATGACTGTTCGTTTATAAAATTGTAGGAGACTCTTCAAGATTTTTCATAGATTTTCTAATCAACAAAACATTATGTAATAGTTAACTATTTGTTGTTATGACTCTATCTTTACTAAGAAATAATGATACCCTAGTAGAAACCTGCTATTCAAGTTTTCTTCAGATGATTATTACTATAATGTATTCATAAAAATGTTTGGAAAAAACAAAAACAATAAATAAACTGAATAACACTGATCAGATCACTGCTAGTAACATGTTTTGAAAAATTTGATGAAGGAAAGTGCGCAACATTATTGTGATTTCTTAGTTCTATTTAAGACAATGTCTCGCAGAACTTAACATTTAATTTCAAGTATATAAGCATAAGAATCTGTTTCTCTTCAAGCGGATGGATTCCTATTGTACAGAAGAACAATAAAATATGCCATAATTTCAAAATTAATTTAATCGTTTTGTAATATATGAAAATAATACGAATAAAGAGTTTTACAATAGATTAAGACTAACGTAGTCGTGAGAAAAAAAAACAGTGAAAATAATAGATTACATCAAGATCAGTGAATCCATCGAAAAGCAATTTTGAAGTAAATAGGGTTGAAACTTTTACTTAGCTCCACGCTTATAGGAGTTGTGCTATCCTGAATCCTGTATAGTTCTGTCTAGTGCAGTCAACAACGATGAAGATATATGTTTCAATGTATATCATATACTGTCATTTTCATTTGATTAGCTACAGTAGGAACATCGTGTTTCACATTTTGATCTCATAGGAGTTACGCTAACAGCGTTTTTGTTAACGGCTTCTATGAAAACATTGTAATGTGTCAAATTTCTGATGTAAACATTATTTAGTAGAACCGAGCTAGATTGCGTAATAAAACTTTTAGATAAAAAAAGATGAAAGCAAAGAAACCGAATTCTATGGATTATTTCGCGCATATAGAAAAACAAGTTCCTGAACGATGACAACTGTGAAAAAAAGATATCACTGTTAAACCTAATTTAATGACTATTACTATATTCCAAATTCCGAAATGAACACTTTATTCTCTTCTAACTTCGCTCTTAAAATATTTGTTGTGTTCTGTTCTAGTACTATTCACATTATTGTGTTAAACCGAATTAATTGATTATTTGATTCATTGGTAACAATGGCATGTTTCAGTATACTTCCTATTTCAAATGATATGATTCCTAAAATAGAATATGGTGATGAAATTTTCATCGAAATACATTTAGACGAACGATATTATGTCGGAGACAATGCACAGTTATGTAAAGTATGGAAAAAAGATGAGAAAATAATAATCGAAAAACAATTTAAAATATTTTCTGATCCTGATCAATGTTTTGATTTTATCACATCATACGAATGGCGAAAAGTTTTCTTAACAATTACAGATCAATTCACTTATATATTACCATTAATTCATGATATTAAACAAATTGTTTATATTTATATTTATTCTCAATCACCAGATAAAGTTCCATACAATAGTAGTATATATTCGAAATTACGATCGATTGTAGACGAAAATTCATCGAATGCTGATGCTGTTTTATTGCAAGATATTGAAGATTTTCGACGAGATTTAATGCCAATTAAAGTTATCAATCCTGTTGAACGAAAGATCAAACTTTTAATTCATGAAAAAATGGATATTGATGAATATTCAATTGTTTGGCTTCATAATAATGAAAATAGTACATTTATAGATACATCATCTATCTTTGATATAACAAATTCATTTAAAAGTTTTTATAATGTCGATCAATGTTTAAATTATTTGACATCTGAAAGTGAAACAAAAATCTTTTTTATAACATCTTATTTGGATTATGAGCTAATTCTATCAAAAGTATTTGAGTTATCACGTGTCATTTCGATTTATTTATTTTACAATGATCCAAATTCGATCAATATCTCTAATAAGTTCATAAAAAAACTTCGTGGAATATTTTCTGATATGAAAACTTTATGTAATCAATTATCAGAAGAATATAAACAAAATATTTCAATGCAGAAAATGTCGATTAGTATTTTTCATGAAGATAAACATGAAAAAACAATTCGCAATTTATCAAAAGATAATGCACGATTTCTTTGGTTTCAATTATTAATTGATGTTTTGATTCGAATACCATATAATGATCAAGCAAAAGAACAAATGATCAATGATTGTCGAATACATTATAAAGACAATTCTAAAGCACAAAGGGACATTGAAAAATTCAATCAAACATATAAGTCTAGTGAAGCATTGCGTTTTTATACAGAAGATTCATTCTTATATCGTCTGTTTAATCAAGCTCTTCGAAAAGAAAATATTGATTTTCTATTTATTTTTCGATTTTTTATGGCTGATATGTACAATCAATTACAACAATTATATATGGAACAATTTCAAAATAATTCGATACAAAATGGCACAGGTCTGATGCTATTTCGTGGACAAATTATGAGTGATATAGAATTCAATTATATCAAAGAAAATATTGGACGTGTCATATCAGTAAATACATTTTTTTCGACAACGGCACATCGTCAGGTTGCCATTATTTTTTCTGGTGCTGTTCCAAATGTTCAAAATGCAAATTATGTATCCGTATTATTCGAAATCGATACAAATGTTTTACATAATAGAATTAAACGACCGTTTGCTTCACTTGAAGCTTTCAGCAAAATAAAAGATGAATCCGAAGTACTTTTTGCTGTCGGTTCAACTTTTCGTATCGAGAGTATTCACGATTATCGAACAAATGAAGGATATTGGTATGTCAAGATGAAATTAGCAGAAGATACCGATGAAATCAACGAACTTCGAAATCAATTAGAAAAACAATATTGTAATCAAGGCGATTTATGTAGCATAGGGCAAATTTTAAGAGGCATGGGTGATTATAAAAAAGCAGAACGCTATTTTCTAATGCTACTCGAATGTATTCCTGAAAGACACCCGAGCTATGCTCAAATATGCTCGTCACTTGGAATGATCTCTCGAGACAAAGGAGATTATCAAACATCACTTAAATATCATGAACTAGCATTGAAAAGTTTCAATCAAATCGACATTTATGATCAACATGACAATATTTGTTTTGAATACGCTTCACTCGGTTCAACGTATCATTTACTTGGTAACAATGATTTAGCTTTGAAATATTTAACAATGGCAATCAATGACAAATCTTCTCCTAGTTTACTTTCACTTGCGTACAATCAAATAGGAATAATATACCGTGGAAAAGGTGAATTTCGTTTAGCATTAGAATATTTTCAAAAAACATTAAACATTGAAGAAGAAATTTTGAAAACAAATAAATATGCTCCTGTATTAGCTACGATGCATAATAATATAGGTGAAATCTACGTTCATCTAGATGACGATGATAATGCGATAAAACATTTGAATCAAGCATTGGAAATTCGTCTGAAAGGAACAGTCTCTACACACACGGATCTTGCTACTATTTACAATAATTTAGGAATGTTATACAATAAAAAGAATGCTCATAGAAAAGCGTTAGAAATGCTTGAAAAAGCTCTCGAAATCGATACGAATCTATTTGACGAAAATCATGAATCATTATCTGTTACACACTACAATATCAGTGGTGCTTATTTAGGAATGGGCGATTTAGCCAAAGCTGTTTATCATTCCGAAACAGCACTAAGAATCCAGCTTCGTTCACAAGCCAGAGACGACCAATTAATAATTAGCAAATATCAGCTTCATCTCGGGCGCATACAACTAGAGTTAGGTAATTTTACAAAAGCATTGAAAATAGCAGAGAAAGCATTGAATATTCAACTCAAATATTTGCCAGATAATCACCGAGATTTTACATATACATATTTATTATTTTCAAATATACATGAAAAAGAAGGAAATATAATAAAAGCTATCGAATATTTAGAAAAGTGTGAAGATATTGCAAGAATTTCAATATTACCATATAATTGAGCCGAATATGATCGTATTCAATTAGAATTAAAAACATGGAAAACAAATTATTTTGGTAATGGAAAAAAATATTCTCGATCAAGTAAGAATATTACATGTGTACCTGATAATACCGATTTACAAGATTGTCTGATATCAAATCATCTTCAAGAGCTTGAAAAAATCTCGCCGCTACAACTTCAAAAACGTATTGGATTACTTCACAGTCTTGTATCACTCTATTCAAAAAAAAGAAAATTATCCGATGGCAATTAAATGTCTTGACCGAATTCACTCAATCTATACTGAACATATTTCATCGGCTTTAATTGATCGACAGGAACTAGAGGATTTGATGGTAGGAGTATATTAAACTGAAAGTCAAATCTATTACCGGTAAAAGAACTGGATAATGTCTTAGAATATATTGAACAAAGCACTCGATTTGGTTTTGAAGCAAGATACTAAAAATCAAATGTTAGCAGAAATTTACTATGCAATAGGTTTGACTTATTCGCATCTTTTCGATTTGTCAATGGCGATACATAATGTTCAATTAGCCGTTCAGACAGCTAGAAAATATTTCTCCAATGATCATCCAAGCCTTGAAAAATATCTTACCCAATTATCTATATGGAATGTACGAATGTAATCTCATAGTACATTTGTGACCCAAATCTTAATTTAAATAAAAATTAGAAAACGTTTCAAGTTTCTAAAACTATTTCATATTCTCTATCGATGACGTCGTAAATCGATATTGGGAGTGGGTGTGGCTGGGTGTGGCTGGGGGTGGGTGAAAAGATGATCTGAATAATCATTCACACCCACACCTTCAACTACTCAGGTGAGCTGGAAGAAAACTACTTGGCTTATTGATACTACTCAATGGCACATTAGAACAAGCAGCCGTGCCCGGTTTCGTCCTTGCTTAAGG